GTTTGCAACTCATAGCGACCCTATGTACAACAGCCCTAAACCCTGCTCTATCCTGTGCCAGTCGCATTGCCTCTGACACACCCATCCCGATTACCACAGTCACTGAATCAATCCACTTCATAGAGGGTCTTTCCCTCCTGCACTGTCCCTCTACTCTACCCAGCATGATGCCCTCTCCAAGGACCTGTGAAGAAATTCAACACGTCCAAAGTATGTCAGACAAAGCCCCAGAATCTTTGCCTCCAAGGAGTAGCCTGGTTTAACCCTCTCTAGATAAAGTATAATTACTTTTGTTTTATCTTTATTTTAGAAACTTGACTTAAATAACACTCTTTCTGGCTTTACCAACTTCTTGCTGGGTATATAGCAAAACTCAGTAAGAAGAAGGCTTACACCTCAAGTCCCAGATTTTAAGGATCAGTTTTCAGTCCAAGAACCAAAGAAAAAGTTTGCCATGCTTATTTATATTTTCCAAATATTGCTATCTCTCCTTGCTGTTCAGTCGGAACTGACTTATAGCTGACTACCCAGTGGGTTTTCTGAGGTTGTAAATAGCAGAGGCGACTGTCCGCTTTCCTTCTTGGAGCAACTTCTGACTTCACCCTTCCCCAAAGGCGACACCTTTATGTTAGCAGCACAACCCCTTATGACCTGTGCTACCTGTTGTTGTTGTACGGCTAAAAATTCTTACCCTTACATAGATTAAACATTCACCCACTAAACTATAATGCGAAACCTATACTTGGATCAAGAAGCAGTCATCAGAACAGAGCAAGGAGACACTACATGGTTCAAAATCAAGAAATGAGTCCATCAGGGATGTATTCTGTCTCCATACCTTTTCAATCTGTATGCCGAACAGATCATCCAAGATGCTGGGCTATACAAAGAGGAGTGTGGCATCAGGATTGGTGGAAGAATCATCAACAACCTGCGTTATGCAGATCACACAACCCAACTTGCTGAAACTGAGGAGGACCTGAAGCGCTTGCTGCAGAAGGTCAAGGACTGCAGCCTCCTATATGGATTGAAGCTCAACATCAAGAAAACAAAGATTCTCTCCACCGGGCCAATTGGCAGCATCAGTATGGATGGTGAAGAGATTGAGATAGTTAACAGTTTTAGTTTGCTTGGCTCCACAATCAACACTTCTGGCAACAGCAGCCAGGAAATCAAAAGACGAATTGCATTGGGAAAGTTGGCTGTGAGGGACCTCTCCAGAGTACTGAAGAGCAATGATGTCAGGCTGGAGACTAAGGTGCGCCTGATCTGGGCTATAGTCTTTGCAATTATGTGCTATGCATCAGAGAGTTGGACATTGAATAGGGAGGATAGAAAGAGAATTGATGTCTTTGAGCTGTGGTGGTGGAGGAGAGTGTTGAATATACTATGGACTGCTAGGAGAACAAACAGGTTTGTCATGGAGAAGGTGAAGCCGGAATGCTCTTCGGAGTCAAGGATTCTGAAGCTTCGTCTGACATATTTTGGGCATGTTGCAAGGAGGGACTGGTCCTTGGAGAGGGACAACATGTTTGGCAGAGTGGAGGGGCGGCGAAGGAGAGGAAGACTTTCAATGACATGGATTGATTCTGTGACTGGAGTGGTGGGAATAAGTGCGTTAGAGATGGTTAGGTTGGCACAGCATAGAAGAGCGTTTAGAGCTCTTGTACATAGGGTCGCTATGAGTCACAAGCGACTCGATGGCCCATAACAACAACAACAACAAATTATATTTTACTTAGCTGTGAATATCAACAATTCTTTGTCTTCATATGAACTTCTGACTGCTCGATTTGGGAAAAAACCTGCTTCACAGATAAAATCTCTTCATTTGGAAAAATTGACAAGAACAAATAATATAAACTCCTTTTATAAAAGGTGTCTCTCTATAGGATGAAACAACTTCCACAGGTGCCATGGATTCAATTGAATCTCCTCTAAAATATAATTAGCCAATTAATTATAATATGATTAGGGTGGAAAAGAGCTCTACATCATGTTTTACGTACAAGAGTTAAAAGGAAAGAGAAGGGACTAGAGAAGACACTGAGAAACCTGGGAATAGGGTGATGACAGATCTTTAACCCAAGGACCAGCAGAGAGAAAATTCCTTCCCAGAAGCTACTTCCTGACTTGTCTCCTAAATTGATGCTCTAGTGGCTTATTGGTAAGGAATTGTGCTGCCAACACAAAAGTATGCAGTTCAGATACACCTCAGGGACAGAGATGGGCAGTATCCTCTGGTGCAATACTGCCTCTGAAAACCCACCGGAGGGTCAGGTGTGGCTTGGAACTGACTCAGTAGTACACGTTAACAACAATAAGAGCAAGCCTCGTATACTACGAGCAAATCTATTTCTATTTGTTAAAGCCATCTGCTTGTGTTCTTTCTCTTCTAGCTATGCTATATAACTAACACAGTAAGTTCTTAAATTCTCTTTGTTGTTGGTATGTGCCATTGAGTCGACTACAATTCTTAGCAACCCTATGATCAACATCTCTGAACCCTGCCCTATCCTAAGCCAGTCTCATTGCCTCTGATACACCTGCCCCCATCACCACAGTCACTGGGTCAATCCATTTCTTCCACAGTCTTCCTCTCCTGTGCTGACCCTCTACCCTTCCAAGCCTGACATACTTCTCCAAGGACTGCTCAAAGTATGTGAGATGGAGCTTCACAATCCTTGCCTCCAAGGAGCAAGCTGGTTCTCCCTCTCCAGGACAGACCTGCTTGTTCTCTTGGCAGTTCATAGTATACTTAATACTCATCTCCAGCACCACAACTCAAAAGCATCGATTCTTCTGCTGTTATCCTTAGTCACTATCCAGTTCTTAGATGCATAACAAGTAATTGAGAAGACCATGGCTTAGCTCAGGCATACCTTAATCTCTAGGTTTACACTGTTGCTCCTTAGACTCTGGAGTGGTCCCTGACAGCAACTTGTCTTTTGCTTTCCTGACTGCTGGTGCCAAGAGCAAGATGAAGTTGTCAGCAATGCCAGTCTCCTCTCCAAACCTATCATGATGTTGCCAATTTGCCTGGTAGTGAGAGTCTTTATTTTCTTGATGTTGAAATGCAATCCATATTGAAGATTTCAATCCTGGACTTTTCCGCAGCAAATACTTTAAGTCCTCCTCAGTTTTGGCGAGCAAGGTTGTATTGTGTCTATGTTGTTCATGAATCTTTTTTCCAATCCTGATGCCACATTCTTCTTCATAAAACCCAGTCTCCCAAAACATCTTTTCCACATATAGATTGAAAAGATGTAGAGAAAGGGCACATCCCTGATTCATTCTTTAATTTGCTCTGTTTGAACAACAGTTTTGTAGTCTAAGTATATAGGTTTTGCATGAGCACCATCAAGTGCTCTGGATTCCCATTCTTTTTAAATGTTAGCCATAATTTGTTGTGATCCACGTAGACAAATGCCTTTGTATGGTCAATAAAACATAAATGGACATTTTCCTGGTACTCTCTGCTTTCAGCCAAGATCCATCTGACATTAGCAGTGATATCCCTGGTGCCTCTTTTAAACCCAGCTTGTATTCTGCCAGTTCTCTGTCAATGTACTAGTCATTTTTAATAATCTTCAGCAAGATTTTGCATGTGATATAGTTGAGTAATTTCTACACTTTATTAGATCACCTTTCTCAGGAATGGGCATAAATATTAATTTCTTCCAGTCAGTTGGCCAGTTAGCTG